GTTATCTGCAATATTGGCGCAATACTGCCAGTGAACCCTCTTATATCCTGATATTAAAATAATTATGGCAACTACTAAGAACAAAAAGGGTGAACCAAAAACTACTTCTCTCCTTTCAGAATTATTTGCAATATTTGTTTTTTTGTTTTTTTTTTCTGGACTTTATTTCATATACACTACTTTCTTGTAAAAGAAGCATTATTATTTTTGTATCAATTTCTTCCTTATATACATAAATTTTTCTTTGGACTAAAATCAATTCGTTCATATTTGATTCTTCTGCTTGGCCTAATTCTTGCCCCAACGAACTTGCAGGCAGACCAGTTGAATCTTCTGGGATGTACGTTTTGTTAATTGCTCTCCAGGAATCAAAAAAAAAATCACAACGTGGCTGGAAATTGCAATTGAATCGACATTGTGAACCGGAGACTTTGATTGAACCTGTAATACTGTACCGGGACAGGACCAACGTTCTTGTAGAGTACATTGATCCAGTGGGGTCAGGATAGGTGTTACAAACCTCCATCTTCTACTGATTTGAACCCTGTTTATTTTTTATCCTTTCATCAGCCCCTGCTCCTATATCCAGTCTTTTCTCTCACTTTCACTCTCTGTAACCCCTTGCGTGCTAGTGGCACTCCTGCCTTGCTTGGGGTGAAATGATTGCAAAGAAATAATTGAATTTATCAATATCTATTGTAAATGATCAACTCTCACTATATATCTTGGACTGTATTCTTACTTTTATTTTGCAAGAAAAATAATTATTATTTGTATATAATAAGTACTTATATATTACTAGCAGTAGAGCCCAGCGTTGTCCAGGGATGTAACAGTAAGAGATAGATCAAGTATCGACCATCATAAAGACTGAAAAATAAAATTGACAAAGATTATTGTTTAAGGTTGATGGACACGCATGTCTTAATTAGTTTTTTTTTGTTTTTTTACGAATTGGTCAAACCCAAACTCAAGCAAAAACATTTTTTTCAATCGTTATGAGCCTACCGATTGAATAGAATTTTATTATAAACAATTGTCTTGTAAATGTAATTTTTAAAGCATTCTGAATGTAAAAATAAAGAAAAAAGTGTGAAAGACAATAAGAAACACTACCTGCCAAAAAAAAGTGAAGTTTTGTTGAAATCGTTTGAAAAATGTAGGAAATCCAATTCCATATATAAAGGAACACAGGCACACACACACACACACAAACAACCTGGGTTTTATAATAAGTATAACTCGATATGAGTTGTCCCGCTTTCATTCTCACGACAGCGATGCCTCTTAATCGTGTTTTCAAATTGATTTCATTCAAAAACAATTGTGTTTTTCCAATATTTGGCACTGTCAGAACCACCGCAAGGTAATTTTACGTAGTCCTGTGAAGTTTTGTTGAAATCGGTTGAAAAATGTAGGAAATCTGATCCAATATATAAACAAACAGACACACACACACAACCTGGGTTTTATAATAAGTATGATGTACACCCCTAACATTGGACTATGAAATTCTGGAAAAGAGAAAACATTTATCATAACGCTTCAGAATTTGTAAGCAGCTAAACTTGACCTAAATTTAACATTTATCCAACTTTTTGTTCAATTTGTATCAACAAAAAATAAAAAAAATTATATAGTTTGCATTATGTTTTGAAACAATTTACATGTTATTCAGAATAGATGTACAGACATGTTTATACAAAAATGCAACACACAGCATAACTAAGATCACACAAGGAGAAACAAAATTATTAACATATATTCTAGTGTCAAGTGGCCATTTCTCTGTAGTGGATTAATAGCAGAAGTGGACAGTGCCTTTTTGAGGAAGAAGGACCAGATGACTCTGTGGACAATGATGACAATGAAGATGACAAAGAGTTCAGTTACCCTAATAATGTAAATGAAACTGTCATAATATCTTTGACATGGACAGGAGACAAGCAAACTAACATATGCTTAGATAATGTGAGTAATATATATTTTTAAAACAAATGCAATGTTAGGCTTGTGGTTTAAACTCTTTGTTAAATATTAATTAGTTTGGGCCAAAGATATGACTTACTTTTGGTAATATCATACTGAATATAATGATGTACATGGCTAGAAAAAAGATAATATTTAGTTCATATGTATAACATGCACACCCTCACTTTTTAGGCTTAAAAATTGGTGGGGGTACATAATATACTGATAATTATGGTACTTATTTTAGTATCTGTAAGGTTTTTATTATTTATCTATAGTCTCTTTCTATCGAAAATCTCTTTCTATCCATCTATCTGTTTATCTAAAATCTCTTTCTATATATCTAGTCTGATTATATATATCTAGTCTGTCCCTCTCTATATATAAAATCTGTTTCTATCTATTTATCTATCTAAAGTCTGTTTCTATCTATTTATCTATCTAAAGTCTGTTTCTATCTATTTATCTATCTAAAGTCTGTTTCATCTATTTATCTATCTAAAGTCTGTTTCTATCTATATCTATCTAAAAGTCTGTTTCTATCTATTTATCTATCTAAAGTCTGTTTCTATCTATATCTATCTAAAGTCTGTTTCTATCTATTTATCTATCTAAAGTCTGTTTCTATCTATTTATCTATCTAAAGTCTGTTTCTATCTATTTATCTATCTAAAGTCTGTTTCTATCTATTTATCTATCTAAAGTATGTTTCTATCTATTTATCTATCTAAAGTCTGTTTCTATATTTCTTAAGTCTTGTTCTGTCTATCTATCTAAAATTTGTTTCTATCTATCTATTTATCTATCTAAAGTCTGTTTCTATCTATTTATCTATCTAAAGTCTGTTTCTATCTATTTATCTATCTAAAGTCTGTTTCTATCTATTTATCTATCTAAAGTCTGTTTCTATCTATATCTATCTAAAGTCTGTTTCTATCTATATCTATCTAAAGTCTGTTTCTATCTATTTATCTATCTAAAGTCTGTTTCTATTTATCTATCTAAAGTCTGTTTCTCTCTATCTATCTAAAGTCTGTTTCTATCTATTTATCTATCTAAAGTCTTCTATCTTTTATCTATCTAAAGTCTATCTAAAGTCTGTTTCTATCTATTTATCTATCTAAAGTCTGTTTCTATCTATTTATCTATCTAAAGTCTGTTTCTATCTATTTATCTATCTAAAGTCTGTTTCTATCTATTTATCTATCTAAAGTCTGTTTCTATCTATTTATCTATCTAAAGTCTGTTTCTATCTATTTATCTATCTAAAGTATGTTTCTATCTATTTATCTAAAGTCTAAAGTCTGTTTCTGTTTCTATCTATATCTATCTAAAGTATGTTTCTATCTATTTATCTATCTAAAGTATGTTTCTATCTATTTATCTATCTAAAGTCTGTTTCTATCTATTTATCTATCTAAAGTCTGTTTCTATCTATCTATTTATCAATCTAAAGTCTGTTTTTATCTATCTAAAGTTTGTTTCTATCTATCTCAACTCTGTCTCTAAACATGTTTCTATCTGTTTCTATCTAAACTCTGTTTCAATCTATGTCTTTATTTAAAGTCTGTTTCTATCTAAATTTATTTAAATTCTGTTTCTATCTATTTATCTGAAGTCTGTTTCTATGTATGTATGTATTTATGCATCTATGTTTCTAACTAAAAAGTCTGTTTGAATCTCTTTTAGCTAGATTCACATCTCATGACTATTCATATGATTCAGTCTGTTCTCTCTCTCTCCCTCTCGGTTTTTGTTTCTTTATTTGAATCCTTAACTGAGTTAGTTTCACTAGTCATTGATAGTGACTAGACTCTCTAGTCTCACCTGGTAACCAACACTTGTAGCTTTTTTAGAAAGTTTAATAAACATTGGTAGCGACTTGTAATTCTCAGTTTTTCCCCAATGTACATGACATTGTGTCAAATTTTGTCTTGTTTTATGAAAAATACCTCCTCCATCAATACCTTCCTAAGTAAAAAACGTCACTCATCCATATCGCCATTCATATCTAGTCACTACAATTATACAACTGAGATAATTTTATTTTAATCCAAAAATTATGTCCGTATTTTTTTTCCTTCCGCTTTCAATTTTTAAAAACTCTTACTTACTAAATCTACTGTACCCATCTCTCCTCTCCTGTCTGGTGTTTTATGCCTTTCCTTTTCTTCACCCACCCCATTAATATCTACTCCGGTGACTGACTGACTGACTGCAAAACTTTAAATCACCAGGTTCATCCCTCTCTTAACTGACGAGTACTACTATTCAACATCTACTCAAATCTCAGAGGAATTTCTTCTCCATCTGTGTCCGTCATTCCTTCCTCCCCTTTTCACTTTCTTCTTTTTCTTCAGTTTCCCTTCTTCTTAAATTTACATTTCCAATTCTTAAAATTCCATACTTAATTTCTCCTTTTCTTTCTTTCTTTCTTTATTTCTTTCTTTCTTTATTCTCTCTCTATCCCTCTCTTTCTTTCTTCTCTCTCTATCCCTCTCTTTCTTTCTTTATCTTTCTTTCTTTCTTCTCTCTCTATCCCTCTCTTTCTTTCTTTATCTTTCTTTCTTTCTCCTCTCTCTATCCCCCTCTTTCTTTCTTTCTTTCCTCCCTCTCTCTATCACCTCTTTTCTTTCTTTCTTTCTTTTTCTTTCTTTCTTTCTTTTTCTTTCTTTCTTCCCTCTCTCTATCACCTTCTTTCTTTCTTTCTTTCTTTCTTTCTTTCTTTCTTCCCTCTCTCTATCACCTTCTTTCTTTCTTTCTTTCTTTCTTTCTTTCTTTCTTTCTTCCCTCTCTCTATCACCTCTTTTCTTTCTTTCTTTCTTTCTTTCTTTCTTTCCTCCCTCTCTCTATCACCTTCTTTCTTTCTTTCTTTTCTTTCTTTCTTTCTTTCTTTCACCTCTTTTCTTTCTTTCTCTGGTATTTTCCTGACCAAATATTTGTCCATGTTTTTCTCTCCACAGGAATTTATTCATCTGTCCTGGAAATAAGAGCTTAGTACCGAAAAAACACTACTACTAACTTAACAGGTAGGACATTTTTACAAGCAGCATAATTTTTAGCACAGTGTGACACCTTCCTTAAATCGACTTTTTAAAAAATTTATCGTTTTTCCTTTTTTATATTGTTGTTTATTTTTGTATGCCTCAATATTTTATTTATAGTGTAAAGAGGGATTCTGTTGTTGAGCGATTTCTTCTGAATCATCCCCAGACCATCACAAAAAATAACTCATGAGCGAGCAGACACACATACGCACACATACATACATAAATTAATGAACGCATTATTGTGTCGGGGCAATTATGGCTTCGCACGATCTTTTGTTGCATTATTTCACTGTTAATAAATTTCTCCCCCCCCTTTCTCAATAATTGGGGGTGTTGGTTGGCTGGTGGCGAAGAAGGTTGCGGGTTTACCTGAGGTTAGTGTTCAGTTCATTGTTCAAACCTAAAAAAAGACAGCATTATTTCAATTCAAATGCTGATTTTCAAAGCAGACAAGAGCCACCTCCCCACCTAAAAAAAAAAAAATTCAATATAATCTTTTTTACTTGTTCTAACTATTCATGAGTTCATCATGTACTACTTGTAAAACAGTAAAATCTGAGAGTTACTTGGTCTCATTCTTACCAAAGCAAAAATAAGCTTTCCTAGTTTTTTTTTTTTTAATTTCAATTTCACTCATTATTATCTTTGTCGCTGACATTTTAAACTTCATCTTTCACACGTGAAAAAGTAGAATAAAAAAAAAGCCAATTAAACTAAAGTTTCAATATTAAACAAAGTTTAATAAATAATTATTAAAGAAACCATAGCCTTCTGAGAAGGCCCTTTCTGCACCCGCAAACGCGACACACACACACACACACAGAGAGAAAGAAAAGTATCATCTGCTAGGTAGGGGTATAAAAATGATACCAGCAGTATCAGTATCACACTCTTAGTCTTTTATCATCATCATCTATTGGTTACACATCATAGCTTTCATAAAGTTCCAAAGTAGAATTTAAAAACTTACAAACGCCACACGTTTTTATTTTTTGCTTTTTATAGATTTTTTGAGGAATTTTTTTTTTTTTTACAAATGCTTCTTTCTTTTACCATGATTTCAATTTCATTTTTAAATTTAAACCTTCTAAAAAGGGATAGAACTTTTTAAAAAATTATTTTTGCTTCTTTGTAAATTGTAATATTATAATATAGCAAATGGATAAGCTCTCTAGTCTAAGGCTAAGCTAAACATAAAAAATCTTATTCTTATTGTGTGGGTTTGTTTCAGCAAGTACAATGGCTTGATATTCCGATTGTTGGGAGTAAAAAGTTACAAAAAGAGCCTTGATAAAAGAGCATCGAAATTTAAATAACGATTTTTTTTTTTATTAAGATTTTGAGCTAAAAGCTAAAGAAAAAATTGCGTTTTGATCTACAATATAGGACATCGAAATTGTAGATTATTTTGTGGCATCAATTGAAATGATCATTTGTTTTATTTTGATCGCGAACATTTGCTTAGTTGATTTATTTTATTACTAACTAAATGTGACTTTTTCCCTCGAGCCAAAATTGTGACAGTTTTTTTCTGTGACATTGTTTCCATTCTCGAATATTTGTCTGTGTGTCTTGAATTTCAATTTCAGTAATCGAAATCTTTTTATCCGGGCTTTTGTTAGACACAGAACTGAGCTGATCTGAAAATTGACAATTTAATTTTAAAATAAATGAAAACTTAAAAAAGTGATTGACAGCACTTTTTGTCTTCGTTGTAAATTGTAAAACTAAAAGAAAATAAAAAGGAACAAATTAAAAAAAAACAGGAAACAAAAAAAAATCACCTGTAGTGTTGAAAGTTAAAAAAAAGTAGGTAGGAAAATTTACACTACACTGACACGGGTATTGATTGTGGTTAATTAAAAACGTACTCCCAATAAACAATAGAGAATTCTTTTGATTTAATTAAAATATAACATGTGTGATTTTTTAACTCACTAAAAAAACAAAACAAAAAAAAAAACATATGTATAAAAAATATATAGGGTGGGGTGGGGATCTTTTACTTTTACACTTTTAAAGTGTTTTTGTAAAGTGTAAAAACTGTAGTGTAGTACTGTACAAAAGAGTATCTGGGACGAATAGCGCCCATACGTTATCCACACCTGGGAATCAATCCCTAACAACCTTTCATAAAGTAAGCCCCCACTTTTGGGACCGCATCACACACGCACACACATTGTGTCGGTCGAGTGAACGTCTATAGCAGCTCTTTATCTTTTTGTACCCGCGGGTCTTAGTTCTAAATCTGTCGCAGAACGAATACACTTTCTTATTCGTCTTTAGGAAGAGGTGGGGAGGAGAAAGTAACCAACCTATCCATATCATCATAAGTAAGTTGGTACTAGTACTGTAAAAATATAATATCCATGTTTAGTGTTACGGAGGCTTTATTTTGTTCACCGTAATATGAGCAGCACTAAAAGGGTTGGTTATATAACCAAATAAATCCAGAAAGAAAGGGTTGGTGTGAAGAGCCAGGAGAAAAAGTTTTACTTTTATTTTGTTTCTTTTTTTTTTTTTTCTGTCAGTCTCCCTTTTTGTGGTTGAAATGTACGGTATTTCGTACCGTGATGAGAGAGGCTCACGTTCGAGTCCAGAAAAGCCAGGCTGTAAAAGTGTAAAACAGTAAAATGTAAATTTTATTATCAACAAGTCAAACTAGTACACGGTAATCCCCCCCATACACACACACATACACACAATCGTTTTTGTTTAGCTTTGGTGTCGTTACTCGGATAAGTTTTTAAGACAAACCTATCTACCTTTCTTTTTTAAAGTAAAACGTACTGTTTAATAAACAATCTCTCACTCTCTCTCGCACACACACACACACACACACACACACAACCATTTCGGTTGGTAAATTGAAAATAATATTAGCTCAAGCCCCAAGCAATACCTCTCCTTTGGGATGGGCCCCAAGGTCATACTCGGCGGCTGAGGCGTCACCAAAATGAGGAGGGGCGAGAGAGCATTTTTTTTATGGTTTTCCACTACTTTTTTTGCCAAAAGCCCACATTTAAAAACTCCGACCATGTGTCGCATTCTGTTGTGACGTGGGCGCGCGGATAAATACCTTATAATTTTTTTTAGGGTGTTGATTATCACATCAAATCTCTCAGACCATTCGTTATCGTTAGTCAGACTGATCCTCACTGAATAACGTGACATTGTGATTTTGTGCAAACTAAACTAAACGAAAAACTTAATTTATCCAATAAAGAAGGATGAGTAATTAATTAAATGAATGGACCGCTTCTTGGTTCTTTGAAATAAAAATAAAATAATTCCCATCGTTGTCTGAGATATTTGGGGGGTTCAGTTTCCTCAGGTAAAAGAAGACAAAATTTTGAAATATGAAAATTGAAAATGAATCTTCGATACTTTTTTTTTTCTCTTAGAACATCGACATATTTTACACTCGGTTTAGCGTACTGAAAGTAAAAGTAAATTATTTCATTTTTATTTAATAATTTATTCATATTTTTATTACTCCAATCAGTGTGTCACTCCCCGCCCCCGGAAAAGAAATCATAAAAACGTAGGTTGGTAAATGTAAGAAAGATAAATTCGCATTCCAGATTTAATTGTAGTGTTACTCGTTGTTCTGGGTGTGTTATAAAAAAGAGAAAAAAGTCAGCGATTTAAACAGACCCACTTTATGGTCGATTAGTTACTTGACATTCGTCACATTGATAAAAAATAATGATGGCATTTCCTTATGTGGAAGTGATTTTCTGAAAATGAAAACAATTTTTTTTCCTTTAATTGAATTAAAAAATAATCTCCCGTTTTTAATAGGATTTTTTTATTCAATTTATTTAACTTGAGTAGAGTTTTAAAAAGCGTTCTTTAAAAAGCATTTAAAAAAGTTTTATTTTAGGAATCGAACAACTGGAAAAAATGAAGACTGGCTTAAATTAATTTTTTTATCTCATTCAAAAATCAAAATAGATCCCTTATTGGCATTGGATGTGCATTGTGATGTAATGTAATCGGCTTGAAGTGAGAACTCGGAGAGCCGAGTTCAAATTCCAGTTGAGTTCATTATATTCATTTACACACAAATACCCTTAGGAAAGGTATGAATCCATCTTCTCTCCCCCCTATGGATTAAATAGCAGGATAAGTTCTTTAGTCTTGGTTGGCAACCAGTCTACCACAGAAAGAAATGGCAACCTACTGTGGGAAAAAAATCTGCCACATCAGTTATATATCGAAATATACATGATCGCCCAACCGTGTATCACGTCTCTTAACTGATTGACATTGAGAGTATTTATTTCAAATTAACAAAATTCATTTTTAGTTAAGATTGGTACCCTGGGTAGCTGTTGACATTTTAAACCATTTGTATCAATGTCTAAGTTTTAGAATTTATTTATTTTTTTTTTTTTTTAACGTCAAATCCCTTTAAGACATAGTCATGGCTCTCCACAGCCTCCCTCTATTTAATATCTGTAAATTGCTATAACTTCTTGGGAAATATAGTAGAGTGTCTTACCATTGCCTTCTCCTCAACTTTAAATTTTCAATATCTACATTTCTTGCAATCATGTAGAAGCTATGCCAGAACGCTGGTCAAGAAATCATGATTTTTTTTAAAGCATAGTTTAGTTGTAACACAAGGTTGAAAGTATGGGGCACCCAGTGAAAATCAAAGTCACTGCTTAGTCACAATGGTTCTAGCAAGACAAGCTTGCTAACCCTTACAGTACGTTGAGGTGCCCAAATGATTTTCTATGCATAGCTTAGATGTGGTACAAGGCCAAAAGTATGTGGCACTAATGAGTATTGAACACACTATTCAGTTGTAAATGATTTAGCGAGATAAGCTTGCTAACCATTACACCATGTTGAAGTGCCCATGCTAGTCAAGAAATGATTGCTCTCAGCTGGCCAATGGGAGAGAAAGTCTAATGTCATGGAGGCCTGAAACTTTTTATGACCCCAGAATAGACATCACTGAGGAAGTA